TACGTACGTAGAGTAGAGAGAGAGAGAGAGAGAGAGAGAGAGAGAGAGAGAGAGAGAGAGAGAGGGGGGGGAGTGCGCATCATTAAATTCCGATTTATGAACGCATTGGTACATCGGGAGGGACTTTCATGTTTCGATAAATATATTTCGATATTTGCGCGGGATTTCCATTGTGCGCGATAGATCCGCGGATTTTGAATATCGCATTAGCGCGAGGTATCTCGCGAATCTAATTCCGAAGCCACGAAACGGCACGGCTCCGCAGTCGCGAACGCCATTAGCAGAACTCTATTCATTAGCAATGAGGAAAGTGGATTAAGCATCGACTGTCTCGAACTTATAAAGGACACTGTCTCGGTGTGTAATACGTGCAACGGAATTCTATTTCGGATACGGAGAGCGCCGTTGTTGACCGAATTATTTCAGCGCCCGAGTTATACTCTATTGCGCCCCTACTCGGTCCGTCAGACGCGAGGGGTGAATTATGAAGAAAGAATTTACGCTCTTTGCGAAATTGCGAAATTTCGATTTCGCGTAAATAGGTCTTTCCCGATCCCCGTTTTAATTCGCCCGTCTCGCGCAAAGTTAACGCTTAACGGGCGGTAAAAGTTGACGTTTCTCTCCCCTACGTTTCTCCACATACGTGACTTTAATAGGTTTTTTACTTTCGCTGCCTTTCGCCCCAAGGTGTAATAATATTATCTTTGCACGTCATGTCAATTGGCGCGGTCACATGTAGTTTAAAACGATATAGGAATTTGGTCGCTTAGCGATTCCCTCGCTTTTGTCCTAGCGTTAATTAGTTCCGCGCTCCGAGCAGAATTAAATGTTCGACAACTTGCAAATCAGCCGGCTTGAGTGAGCGCGGACTCACTTTACTCCCTAAATCTAAATTGTATACACGTAAAGTAATAAAAAAATTTCCGACGACGTCGCGGGTTTATTATTTGTGTAGCAATATATCGCGGATGGGAAGGTGCAACCGCAGTGTCGACGATATCATATACCCGATGGAATCTGTTAATTGGTCGCTCGCGATCTCGATAAGCTGAGAGGCGCATTTTTAATTAGTTTTTCCGCTTCTGTATCGACGATCAGGAGGCCACGGGGTTTGCGTTTCCGCCGCCTTGGATATACAAGAGGCGGTGCACCGGCAAATATTTGCGCGAGCGTTGATGAAAATATGTGGCATTTGAATAAGATTGGCGAGAAGGACGAGCTCGTCGACGCGTTGCGTCGCCTGGCGTCGATTTTCTAATAACGAAATGTCGCCAGAACGATGTTGTCCAGCTTAAAATTTAACTCATTCCTCATTCTGCCATTCGACGATTGACCTATTTTCATTCAATTTCGTTATTTAAGCTTCAAGGCGATACGCATGTTCTGACGCTCGGAGATTCCGAGCAACCGTCCGCCAATACTATTATCCATAAAGAAGACACGCACATCCGACAGTTTGCATAGTGTCATCAATCGTGGCGTAAGCACAGGTATAATGTCCGTTTCTAATCCGCGGAGGAGCTAGAAGCGCGAGAAGCTACGTGACCGGAATGCGGCATCCGAACGGAGTCGGCAGTTGCACACCTCTCGTACCTACTCGTTTGCATCACGGCGAGATTTGCGGAAGACGAGAGAGAGAGAGAGAGAGAGAGAGAGAGAGAGGAGAGAGAGAGAGAGAGAGAGAGAGAGAGAGAGAGAGAGAGAGAGAGAGAGAGAGAGAGAGAGAGAGAGAGAGAGA